CCTACACACAAATACATTCATCAGAAAACATCTTGATAATTCAGTTAGCAACCATGGGGCTTAGTGGAGACTTATGATCTCAATGTGAGTGAGTTTTAAAAACTTTGATCTCACACCTGCTTGCAATAATGAGAGTTTGTATTACGGACCAATTTCTAATGCCTGGTTGAGAATTCTGAGCAGCTACAGCCTTAACTGATACGAACTCGACCACAACTCAGACCAAAGCAAAGAAGGAGAAGCCACTTCTCACTTCTCTGGTGTTTTTAAAAATTTATGTGTAAGCATTTAAAATGAATTAATGCACACAGAATTTAGCAATACAACTGTACATAAAGAGTATGTTCTCTATAAAATGTTTAAGAAATGAATTATACATGTTCAAGCTCACACCCCTCAGGGGTTGATCCAGGGTTTTTCAAGGGGGGAGGGGGGTTAAGAATGGTCAGGGTAAAACCCAGACTGTGGACTGCTGACTGCAGACTACTGTGGACTGCATACTGCAAACTGCAGACTGTGGACCAGGAGTAAAATGCAGACTAAGGGTAAAATGCAGACTAGTGCAGACCACGAGTAAAATGCAGACTGCAGACTGTAGACTTTTTAACTGAATCATGTTACTATTTCCATCATTGAGAGCTAAGTGTAAACAGGCTAAATGGAGCATTATTCAGGCTAACCTAAGTGATGTTCAGGCTAACAAGAAGGGTATTTAGGCTAACCAGAGTGATATTCAGGCAAACTTGAGTGCAGACTTTTCACTATGATTAGCCTGAATAACCCTGTTTTAGAGTCAATAATGGAAATAACACAATATATATTTTTTTCTAAGTCTACATTCTGCCATCTGCATTTTGCCCCTGGTTGATCTGCAGTCTGCATTTTATCCCCGGTTTGCAGTATGCAGTCTGCAGTCTGCAGTCTACAATCTACAGTCTGCATTCTGCATTTTACAATGACCAGGTTGCACAATCAATGAGGCATGCGCTCAAAATGTTGCAATTTGGAAATTGGAACCTAACTGAAAAATACTAACAATGTCCTTAGTATAAATTATGTATAGTGGGTTACTTGACCAGATTGTTGGCCTTTTTTCTTACCATAATAATGTTTACAGTCTTTTTCAATCTTACTCTCCCCCTCCCCTAAATCATTCCCTGATGTGACCCTTAGAAGAACTCGGTAAAGCATTTACATGATGACTTAGGCCATCAGTGTTATGGTGATCTAATGTACACTGGAAATGGCCAGTTGTAGAGTTGTAGTGCATACAACTTCATGAAAAGTCTAAATTATGTTTCATGCTTCATTTTAAGCCTATCAGTCAGCTGGTAAAGAAAGTCAAAATTGTAGAAGTAGGCCCTAGA